GAAAAGCCAGGATTGTTTGTCAATTCAATTCTTTTCTGAGCTAATGCACCATTAAATATACCTTCTTTTCCGAGCTAATTGTTTTCTTACATTTCAGCCTAACAAAAAAACAAAGATATACATTCAGTTGATCATTCTCCATCAAATTCTATGGTCATCATAGATTAACCAGACCAATAAAATCTACAATGATGAATTGTACAATTAGTCTTCTGGACCTCTTGCGGAACCAACATACCAGTACCACTTGCGGAACCATCTCCCTCTAGACCATCCCCCAAGTCAACATTGAGCCCTTCTTGTGAACTATCTCCACAACTACTCATCTAAAGTGGTAACAAATTAATCAGACATCATTGGTTAAAAAAACTATTACTTCAGCATTTCAATACAAAACAATCTATTGTCTCTCAATTGGATGACCCTCAACACCATCTACTTCAACTCAGAAGAAAAACCAAATTAAAATAACAAAAATGTGAGACTAAAGAATGTATTAAACAAGAAATTGTACATTCATTGAACTGAAGAAAAGAAGAAATAACACCAAACAAGTAGACCACGTTATAACAAACAAATCAAGAAAGAAACACAAGAAAGAGGACAAAAATCCCCCAGGGCAAACCACCAGAAACCCAACAGAAAAAGAAAACAGAATCACAACCCAAACAAAACAAAACAAAACAAAAGACAAAGCCCCCAAAAACAAACAAACAAGCCCCAGACTTCATCAACAAATAATGAAAGATTGAAACAAGAGCTTTAAAAAATCAAAGGATATAATCAGCCTTTCACCTATACAACTGGTACATCGTCCATGTCTGCATCTTAAAATTTGTATTCTAATTTATAACTAATCAGAAGGATTCGTGGGTCATTTTCTATTGTAACAAAACAAACACGAGTTTGTATGTCACGGATCCTTTTCCTTGATGTCAAATAGATATTTGTTCCATTTGAGGTTTTTGGTCCCAAAACCTCTAGAGGTTTCAAAATTTACACACACCCACACTCCCTTGAGGTTTCAAATTAATTTCACAAAATTCCGTATGTTAATTATCCATCTCAAAATTTGTGTTGTCATAAAAACAAAATTCTTCGTTAACAAAGTTAATTCAGAGATTAGATTGCATGTATATTCTTGAAGTCTAATTGTTTAAGTTAATTTTGTCATTTAAAGAAGTGTTCTTTATGAAATGATAAAATTTTCAATATAAAATTAAAGGAAGGGGTTAGTGAAAAGACTAGACATTAAAAGAATAAATATAACCAAACAGCCACCAGTCTGAGCGCCTACCACTTCACCCGCCACAACCCCTTGTCCTTCTCACTGCAGACCAGCCCTCTTCCCTGAGTCTCTCTCAATCTCCTATCTATTGCAACCTCACAGGTCTCACATCTTGGAAGGCTTGGGGAAAATGTCAGGATATTGCAATCCTTATGAAAGCAATTTTTGGGTCGATCTTCCCCATTGGAACCTTCACAAAGCCATCACTCATTGAAGAAAAGTGGTACCTGGCCTCCCTCCTTCACGTGGCCATGAATTCCGGTTTAAGAGTTTAGAAAGTTTTTGTCTCTCATACATAATTATAAAATCAATAAGTAATTAGGATAGAGGAAAATTAGAAACCCTAAACTCCCTTTTCTTGAGATCAACGGTGAAAATTATGTCATCAAATCCAATTTCTCCAATTCCACTCAAAATATCAAAGGAAAAAGTGGTGAATTTTTCAGACTTTAGAGAAGGTGGAAGGATTGGGTGTGAAGTTGATCTGATAGACAAGTCCGATCTTTGTGATTTCTTTAACAGCATCGTGTTCAAGTGCTCTATCATCAGCTCCAACGAGCTTGACATAGGGGAGGAGGAGGGGATGAGGTTGGCCAGCGATGAGTAGGAGAGGCAAATGCTGTCGGTCAGATGGATGTGGGTGGTAGTCAGGAGTTGGGTTGGCTGTTGAGATTAGCGGCTGCTAGGTTGTCTTTGTTTGTTTTGTTTTTTCATTTCAATATTAAGTTTTTATTTTTAAAATTTTATTCAAGTTAACAATGTTATGTTGGGTTAAGTATAGATAGTATACATGTCAAAAAATTATATAAGGGACACGAAAGGACATGGAAAATAAGGACAGCGAATCCTGTCCCATCAGGGAGACAGATGCGTTACTGGAAGAAACCAAACAACTTACCTTACAGTGTATCTTATATGAGAAAACGAATCAAGCACAAATCGATCTTGTAACTGCCTAGGTGTTATACAACAACATTGTCTGGAAAAGTGGAATTCAGCAGTAATAATTACGTATCTTTATGCAACCGTTTTCAAAATCGATCTGGTATATGAAAAAGCACAGGGCCAAGATTTCATATTAAAAAAGAATGGGACCACTATTTGATTTTATTTAAGTCCTGTCCTAGAAGTAGAATAGCCAGAAGTTTTGAGTGCCATTTGCAAATTTTGGGACCACGATTTGCTGGATTAGTACGGTTATCATCAAATGAAGATATGAAATTGAGGGATTGGATTTCCATGATCCGAATAGGGTAATTTTTATTTATTTATAGGTATTCTTTTAATGATCATTCGTACAAAATATCACTTTTAAATCTGAAATTATTTGACCACTTAATTAAACAATTGTCATTTTATGGTTTTCTTCAAGTACCGTATGCATCTATTTTATTGGTGACAACTAGTTGTCTTAATGGTTTTCAATTTGTCTAATTATTTTGCAGGAATAATCTATAAATGAAAACTTGATAAATAGATGATTTGGAATATTCTATAACAAAGGGACATATATATTATATATACAGTTTTTCTCTTATGCGGACGTCCGTAAGTAATTATCGTGCGGACGTCATTGTAAATATGCGAAAAATAAAAAAGTAGTAGAAAATATACGGTGTTCACACAATAATAACGTTTGGCCATCCGCATAGGAGAATGTGTTTTGACAAGAGTTTATAGTCATTGGTGCGTGTTATATATAGAACATTTCTATTGCGCATTGCAAATGTAAAACGAAAAACTTCACAATGTTCTGCTTAATTTGGATATATCAATGACATATGTGTTTAGAACAAACATGACATGTACGTTTAGTTGTTCATAACTCCTGGAAGCCCAAAAAAATTAATTTATATAAATTAATTTAATTGGAATTAATGGGAAGGAGTTCTAACAAGATTCATACTTTGTATAACAAGTGGACAATTTCATACTCAAGAAAATCCAGTTTATCAAGATTGATTGCCTATGATATTTTGTTTTGTTTTTGTTTATGTTTTTTTGAATACAAACGATGGTCTAAACTATAAGAGGGAGGGGGTTTAACATATTCACATTATCAAAGTGTCATGAGAGTTCGAACTTGAGACCACTTATTATTATTTTTATGAGATAAGGGGGACAAACCCCAAAAAGAAAAGACAACTAACTAGTACAGATCAAGCGATGTCTAACAACTCCTAAAAAATCATCATCCAAGAAAGAGCTAACCCAATCAGGGGCCTCATCCAAATAACTAACCCCCAAATCCAAGTTAAAGCTCCAGTTAGCCATACGATCTGCTACAACATTCATTTCTCTGTAAACATGAGCAAAGTGATAGTTGCCAATACGCCTCATAAGAACACAACAGCTCTGAATCAACACAGCGAGAGGATGACAACTCAAGGTACCAAACAGAGTTGACCAAGGCAGACCACCACCCCATTTAGCTTTAGAAAGTAGATTAACTTTAAGCCAAGGTATGAAATCCTGCTTAAAAAAAGGGGGAGCAAATCCAAGAATAGAAAGAGCATGCCAAACACTTTGAGCCCTTTCACAATCACAGAAAATATGCAACACAGATTCCACAGGCCAATCACATAACCCACAAGAAGAATCAATAGCTAGCTGACGCCTCACTTTATACTCACCGGATAAGATTTTACTTTGGGATGCAAGCCAAAAAAAGATTTGCAACTTGGGAGGAATTTTCAGCTTCCAAAGAAAAGCCTAGCTAGACTCAGGAATTTAATTGGAATTAATAGGAAGGAGTTCTAACGAGATTCATACTTAGTGTAACAAGTAGACAATTTCATACTCAAGAAAATCCCGTTTATCAAGATTGATTGCCTATGATATTTTGTTTTGTTTATGTTTATGTTTTTGTGAATACAAACGATAGCTTAACATATTCACATTATCAAAGTGTCATAGGAGTTCGCACCTGAGACCACTTACTGCCTAATGTTGTTATGCATAATAAATCGCAAAAGTATAGTTTGGAGACCTAAACGTACATGTGACTTTTATTCAGCTCATCACTATGCTTTATTTCTCAAAGCACCTGTCTCCCGTGACTTTTCTATGCATGCCCACATTAATGTTGATATCCTCATTGTATAGTCATATAAAAGAATATTACATTAACATCAACAAAAGGAAAACAGTAGTACACGAGCTAGATGATATATACAATGCAAAGTCGCCATCAAACATTACCACCAAAAAAAAAAAACAAAAAAAAAACAAAAAAAAGAAAAAGAAAAAAAAGAAAAAACTAAGTCCAAGTTCCAACATTACAAAGACTTAGACACCAAGACATTCATTTGAATGAAAACACCTCTACAAGATTTAGTTGTTCAAACAAAGGCAGTGATAGTTGTATTTTGTACAAGAATTTCTTTCTCTATTCTTGTTTTGAATGATTCCAAAGGTCCACGTTAAAAGAGACATCACCTCTACCTAGTCCTTCTGAAACATTGGTACACTGTCTTTTCGATTGTGGCGTATCATCAACCCAAAAACTTGTGAACCCTTCTTCCTCTAACGCGAGATCGTAACATGTAGCTCTTTCAAAAGCATCCTCGTCATCTAAAAAGGTTTCCCACCAATCATTTTCATTCTTTGTTGATGGTGATGTTTGTGACGGCGTACTAAAATTCTCGATTGTTTGAATATGGTCCAAAATTGGTTCTTTACTGCTCAAACAATTTGAACTCTTGATGAAGCTTCAGGGTTGAGGTCTTATTACGATGGTCTTTATTGTTTCTTGGGGTTTATCTTTCACCTTTTTCAGGCGAGAATCCATCCACAGTCGAGTGTTCCAATAATTTTTCACATCATTCGCTGTCCTTCTTGCAATCAATGACCACCTTCGACAGATAGCATGAGAAAATAAATCAACACTACTACGTTTCACCATTTGCGCGACGAAAGATTGCGCGACGAAGAATAATTCGTCGCGCAAAACATCTTGGAGCGACGAAAGAAAATAGTCCGCCTCCCAACTTCCTCCCGAGACTCCGATCGAGTCTGTGGATCCTCCACATGATGCTAGATTTCAGATTTTGACGCAGAAGTTGGATCAGACTCTCGGGAGGAGGCCGGGAACGTATTGTAGGGGGATGGGGAATGCCCGACAGAGGGAACCTCGACCGCGGTCATCGTCGCAGGCAAACAGTCAGGTGACTGTTTTGACATCGCGGGTTGCCGAGCTTGAGGGTCAGATGTCGGTGATTCTGCAGTCCCTCACGCGATCCGGGATTCCAATCCCGAATTTTGGTGCGTCGACCTCTGAGCCCGTCCAGCCCGAGCATCCCCAGCACACCACGGCCCCTGCAGACGCCCATACCTCCGAACCGCATGTCGCAGATGACCAAGTAGATTTTGGAACATTATTTGATTAGTTTTTTATTTTTATAATTACTTTTACAATATTTCTCTTATATACATTTCTTTAATTTT